TTTGGGTGTAGGATCCGAGCCTGAAGTTAAGGAGGTGCCGTTCCTCTCACAGCTCTGTAGGCAAGCACTCATCATCAGCCAACAGTCCAATAAGCTAATTGAACAATTCCACTGAATAAATCAATACCCTTCAGTTGCATTCAGTTGCCACTGAATGCACCCTGCCAAGATCATTCCTGATTAAATTAAGTGAAACACCTGTAATGCATATCATGCAGTCACTGCAATAAATGAAACATCCCAATAATTGTGGATAATAGTATGCTACCTGAGACATTTGTTTAGTTCAATCTGCGTGTGATTTGTGGCTGAAAACTGTCATCCAGGAAGGAGAGACGTGCAAGCAAATAAAATAAAAAATAAAAATAAAACTACTGAGTAAAATAAGACTTCCTTTCACTGAAAGTGACTTCTGTTACATTGTCACTATATAACTTAACCATCAAGCAAAAAAATAGATAGATCAATAAATTGTAAAATGGCTAATTGAAGAGCGTACTTATGAAACCTCACCAATAACATCTCTATTCTTTCTTCTATGCAGGAAAAAGCACTGCAAGTTTGCGGATTTGGAAAATTCACCGAAGCTGCACCCAAGCAGATCTATAGATACTGGTACACTGTCCTACCAAAAACATGTTTTTTTTGTCTCTCAATAACCACGTTTCCGTCCACAGCTTTTAAGCGAGTAAAGTCATATTGTATTAAAAAAAATCATGACAACTGTGACGGAAACAGGACGTTTCGGTGTAATTTTATATAAATGCCGACAGATAATTTGTCATGATTTGTGTCAGTAAAATTAATTATGCGGGAACTGTCGGTGGAAACGCCTTCATGCGCAAATATTGATATAATAAACATGACAGTGCATTCGGAAATTATTCAGACCCCTTGACTTTTTCCACATTCTGTTACGTTACAGTCTTATTCTAAAATTGATTAAATTGTTTTTTTTCCCGTCATCAATCTACGCACAATATATCGAAGTAAATTTGGAGTCACGCGATGATATGGTGTGTGGTCTCCCACTACTACTCGGGGAACCATGCAGTTTAGTAGGCTACAGATGAAATAAATTATAATGGACTTCACAGGGTGGTGAAAGTGCACGGTGATTATGGAGGACTAAAAGTGCCACAATTAAATAAATAAATACACCATTAAATAATTACTTAAATGTGTCATTAATTAATTAAAATTAGAATTAAATACATAAATGTGTTATTAAATGTGTCATTAATTAATTCAAATACCGATTCATTTTATGTAAAATACATATATAATTATTTCACTATTTACATTTACATTTCATGATCCTGCATTGCAGTGATTCATGAATTACTTAAAACTGTCAAACTGACCCATCAAAGTCAGTGGGCGGGGCTAACGCGAATCTAGTCTGATCCATTGCTTTGGTCTGAAGTAGAGTAGGCCAACCTGGATAGAGACAATGGAGGATCTCCGTGAACTTTCCAGGGAGTTGGTTAGAGACATTTTAAACTTAGCAGAGGATGTAGAAGCAGGACCTGCTGACATTATCCGGAATTGATTTGTCTTGGCTTGATGCAGAGGGTAACCAATCAGGCGTTAGGTTCCGCCTACCAACTTTTGATGGGTCAGTTTGACAGTTTTAAGTAATTCAGGAAGCACTCCAACGCAGGACCATGAAATGTAAATGTAAATAGTGAAATTATTATATATGTATTTTACATAAAATGAATCGGTATTTGAATTAATTAATGACACATTTAATAACACATTTATGTATTTAATTCTAATTTTAATTAATTAATGACACATTTAAGTAATTATTTAATGGTGTATTTATTTATTTAATTGTGGCACTTTTAGTCCTCCATAGGTGATGAGCTTGATGCTGCAATCCAATAAATATTGAGGGTCTTCTTCTGGTAACATGATTGATGCTTGACTGCCGTTTGACAAATAAAAAATATTCTCGCTCTTATCCATAATAATCTCATCATGTAGACTAGACAACACGCACAGCCTACCCGCACTGTATCTGAGCTGTTGGCTAGAGCGCAGGTGCCAAGACCAAAGTAGGCACATTTACTATTTAACGCAACGTTTTTGTGACAAAACTATCCGTAGAGTTGAAAACGCGATGGCAACACATTGAACTTTAAATTTATATTCGGAACATGAAACCTAAGCGGAAAAAGTACATTTTGTCATTTTGTCTACGTCATCACGCAAATATTTTTTTTGATATGCATCAAGTCCATTTGGTAGAAACATACTGTACCACTGGAGCGCACAATTAATGTTCCAGCAGGGGGATAGCTGGATCAAGCAAACTTCTATAGTCTGAGGGTGGAAATAACAATGATCAGAGCTGCCAACTCTCACGCTTTCGCCGTGTGACACACGTTTTTGCCTGTTTTCACACGCACTCACGCCACACATCCAATTTCTCACGCAAAAAAAATCGGCCGAGACTCGTTCGTTCCTTTTTTCAAACTCCCCGACGGTAGATGGCGCTGATGAGCGCCACTGAACCATATGCGCTGCACCCCGAAGTTAGCGACAGAAGAAGAGATACTATTGCTGCGAAAGACAACAGGAGAAGAAACGGTCACTACCTCAAGAAGTCTGATAAGAAGCTGAGCTGAGACTAGGTATGTAACAATGAAATGTCGTCCAATTGAGTACTCACTCTCTTAAACTTTAAATCTTGAAATAAATTATTTGTTTGTGCGTGTGAACATGATTTAGTGTGGTGAATGTATTCCAAAGAATTTAACATAAATACAGGAAATGTGTGCAATAGTCATCAATATTTTTGTTACATGATGAGGTGGGATTGGATTTTGCTTTTTTTTTTTTTTTCATTCTGTGTTTCTTGCCGATATCTGCAGGGATCCTCTAAAACAGGTTTCACCTACTATATTTGTAAATGTCTGTTATAGATGGTGAAATTCGAACGCAAGCTATGTTCCAAGTTTATGGTTCCAGCAGCTCTGCAGTGCCATGAGGAGCCTTGTGAAATTGCCTTTAAAGAAAAGGCAAACCATTTACCAGGTTAGTATTTGACTATTATTATGATCAAACACTGTGATATGTGATATTTAGCCTTGTACCTTATACCGATATGCTGTATCTGTGACAGGCTAAACTTAACAGATTACTCGACGAGGGTGACATCACACCACAGCAGGTGGATTCATTCCATGAAGCTGTGTTGTGTTTCCTGACAAGTGCTGTGGACTATGCACTTAAGAAGCTGCCACTGGAAGAGCCACTGATCAAGCACGCACAATTTGTAGATGTACGGCAGAGGGCTGAAAGTGACATCGAAGATGTCCTGTACTTTGTTGAAAGGTTAGTTTTTTTTTCTCTAATTATTGTCTATCATCTTAGCTAAAATACCCTGTGTTTTATGATGAGGTGTGTTCACTCCTAAACTGCACATGAGATATTCTTATGTGGCTTCTCCTCAAAGATGTGTATGAACTGCTGCTGGTTGATGACTATATACCTAAAACGTAACAACTTGTAACTCTACTTTCATAAATAGGTTTCCCCATCTCCTCCCATACCATGGGCCAGAGGAGCATGGTATCTAAATTATCAGACTATGCCAATGATATCCCTGCAGGACCAAACTGAAATGGAAAGCTTCTGGGCTGAAATGGCAACCCGGAAGCATAAGGTACATTTTTTTTCATTTTGTCTTTCCTTTTGGCAGGTGTGGCTTGGCTACATCTGTTGCTTAAAATTGTTGCATGCATATGTGTCATGCATGTTGCAAATTATGCATGTTTTTATCTGAACTTTGTTAATGGATCAACCTACAGTATACTTACAGTATTAATCAATCAAAAATCAAGGTATGTTTTTCCATTGTGTTTTGGTGCATTTTCCATAGGTGACAGGAGCCAAAGTATTCGAGAGGCTTGCTGCCGTCGCCAAGCTTGTCCTGGTGTTGCCCCATGCAAACGCAGATGCTGAGAGGGTGTTTTCAGTTGTGGGACTGAACAAAACCAAGAGAAGAAACAGCCTAGCATTGGATGGCACCCTGTCCTCAATAATGACCATAAAGATGGCCAATCTGGAGCCCTGCTTCAAATGGGAGCCCCCCTCCGATATCATCAAGGCCTCCAAGAAGGCCACAGCCAGTATAACCATGCTGACAGATCATAGACAAGAGGCTCATTTGAGATGAGCCCGGTCTGCGCAGAATCGATCACCGGCGATCACCGCCCAATGCATGCTGGTTAGATTTGTGTCCGACTTGATCCCGACTTTCTCTGACGTCATGCACACGTGGGCAACGATAACCTCATGAGATCAAGGCGGCAGCAGTTCTGAGACGCAGGCAGTGCAATTGCTTTTCACCGACTGCAGGACCCAGGCGGACCCAGGACAAAATCTCACTCCAAGGTTTTTTGAAAAGTTGGCAGGTATGCATGATGGACATGGGTGTCACGGATTCAGCCGAGGCTGCTCCTCCTCCTTGCTCGGGCAGGCTTCGGCGTTCGTCGTCGCCGGAGTACTAGCTGCTACCGATCTATGTTTCTGTGTTCAACTTGTCTTGTCTTTATTGTTCACACCTGGTTCCATTATGTATTGATTACTTCCTATTTAACCCTCTGGCTCCCACTGTATTTTGTGCGTGTTTGTTGATGTTTGGTTGTCGTCTGGTGAGCGGGTTTGTGTCCTCCCTGCGTGGAGGTCATGTTATTTACATTACCCACGAGTAAAGTACGTTTTCAATTAGCTCTGTGTCCTGCGCCTGACTTCGTCCTACCGATTCACACTGACACCCTGACAATGGGTGAAATCTGAGTTACAACCAGAGTAAATACTGTATCACAAAAAAATGTACACCTGTATGCAAAGTATCAATAAATACTTGTTAATATTACAAAAAAATACTGCACAATTGCAGATATGGTAAGGAATGCATGTTAAATAAATAAACGTTTTTATAAATAGCAATCACTATAGAAAACATTTAAACAAAAACGAGTACAGAATTTCAATATTAGCAATGCAACACAAGAGTAACAGGCTAAACACACATTACACCAAAGAAGAAGATTCTGACTTCTCTCTGTTTAGTAGGGCAATAGTCAGTTTCCACTAGCAGTGGGGTGCAGGGGTTTGACCCTTGCTAAGCGGGACAGTCCCAGTCGCAAGCCTTGTCCTGGGGACTTCGTGGTGGAATTTGCGGTTGAGCTGGGACTTATTCCACTCTGTGCTAGTGATAAAGGACAGAGAGTTGAATTAAGCCACACAGACACACATATATAGGGAGAATCTCAATTGGATTTTTCCTTGCCTCCTCTCCTCCGTCCTCTCCTCGCCTGCTTTTGAAAAAGGTCAAGGTAATCGAGGAGCAGAGGCGAGGAGAGGAAACGTGGACACAAATGCGCTTGCATGAAATGAGACTCTCCTTCTCCACTCGCGCGTCATCAGGCAAATTATGTTTACAGTGGTGGAATCCCCAAATAAATGTGTAAAGTGATCAAATCAAATGTAGCTAGTTGTGCAATACATTTTATAGATAAAAGCACAAGTAGCGTATCATTTAGAAATGTGTGCATGCTTTTCTTTCGAAATAACACCTGCTGATTCAAATTAGGTGTGGCGGGTTTTAAAACACTTCAGCGCTAGCCGCCAGGAAGATACTCTTGTGAATCCTTTGCTGAAGTCGGTAATCGAGGAGGGAAGCTTACTCTTCGGTTTGCCTACTAACGAATTGACACTCTCCTCGACCACTTATCGGTTTCCGGGTCGCGGACCACGGAGGAGTCGAGGAGAGGACAGACTTTTGCCCAGTAGAGAATCTCCAATTGTGTCACTGAGCCTCACCTGGTGGATTCCACTTTGGAAGCCTGCCCCCTACTGGGCTGATAGGGGATGGTCTAGCAGGTAACGTGGGAGTGGCATCAAGCTTCCTCTGAGTTGACACAGGCGTTGATGTAGCTGGAGTCAGACTACAACTCTCTGTGGTGGGAGTAATGTAAGCACAATATACTTTACATCCAAAATAATTGGGTGAACATTCCTTATTTATGGAATTCGATAAGGTGAATCAGAGAAGCACCTGAGGTGGATTGTAATTTGCTTTTGGGGAATTTTTTAAGCTTCTTTTCATCTGCTTTCTTAGAGGCTGGAGGTTGAGCTGTTTTGTTTTTCTTCCCCGTTTCCCCCTTTCCCACTTTCTTTGCAGTGAACTCCTCATCGCTCTCATCCTCCTCATCAAAACTCTGCTCACTCTCTGAGTCTGTAAGAATGACGGTTTAGTAATAGGATTGTAATTAAGCATCATGTTTCCACATATGTTATTCACAGTTTAACACAAGGTAAATCAAAACACTGCTATGCAGTGCAACAAAATGAATACAATTTGAGGGCATTAACACACTGAATATGATGACAGATGGTGGCTACCTGGTGTGCAGGTAGGCTGGTAATCCTTATCCTCCCGCCCACTCTCACCCTGGCTCATCCTCTCCACCTTCAGTATGGATCTCTGTTGATCTTTAGCTTTGATAGCTGCCCGTCTCTGGCTGGAGGGGTTGACATTGGATCCCCTCTCACTTGTGACCTCAAGAAGGCCTAGGAGAGAGAGATAAAGTCAATAGAACACAGAGACTATAGGCAGGGTTTACTGTTAATGTTGTGTCATGATTTACAGCATGTTCAGCTCTGTCTGAGATGTTATACAGTAGGTTTGACATGGTACTATGTTTCTTTAAATAATTTATGTTCATAAAGGCTTTATAAAAGGACCACTGAACATACTTATTCCACTGGGTGCTTTCTCTACAACTACAGCTATTTGGAGCACTGAGAGAGAACAGGATGCTTGTGAACCCACTTCATTCTCTTTGTCATCCAAAGACAATCTGAAACACACACAAACACAAAACAGTGACTGTCTATTACCAGCCTACCTGCACACTGATAAAATAGTGCCTGACTTTGTTGGCAGTGTGTGAATATGTTTTTCTGTGTTACACCTACAAAACATATGTAGCAATAGGTTTTCTATTTAAAAAACAAAAAACAAATTATAGGCCTACATGTTCTTTGAATCCTGACCGAAAGATTTGCTTGATTGATGCAGACTCTTGTCTCTCTGTGGTTCTTTGACAAGGACCCGAGCTTTCTTGCTGGAAGGCCCTTTCATACAGGCAAAATCTTCATCTGATTGAACAAGAAAGACAAAACATTACAAAAAGCTGGGGCATTGACATTCTGACAATCTGTAAAAGTTGAGAATGTCCAAACAGTTGACATCATCATCACGTACCATCATCAAGCTCCATCAAGTCTGAGTAATTCAATTGGTTCTTGGCTCTTTTGACAAGAACAAATACTCATCATTCATCACACTAAAACAAAAAAGTAATCATTATCGTTGCAGCTACTGTCAGCCTGCTACCTGTAGATCAGTTGAGGCTGCTGAGGGGAGAACGGCTCATAATAATGGCTGGAACGAAGCGAATGGAATGGCATCAAACCATGAGTTTGACTGTATTTGATATCATTCCACCTATTCTGCTCCAGTCATTACCACGAGCCTGTCCTCCCCAATTAAGGTGCCACTAACCTCCTGTGGTGTAGATTAGTTTAGCTAATTTACACACCTTGTTGGTCGAGCCATAATATCGTATTCAGCCAACTTGAGAAACCAAACTCTACTAGTAGCTAGCTACTGAATGACGTGACTCAAGTCTGTTAACAGTGTCCAAACTAGAAACAAAATGAAATAGTGAATAACTTAGATAAAAGACCACATTGAAATAAAATAGTACAATTTCGCAACTTGTTTATTTCAAACTATCCCGCGACAAACTGAATCTGGCAGATCTATTTATTGGGTTTCTATTTAGGGGATTCGTTCTTCATGTAACGTTACATTGGCACATTGTTAAAATATGTACTGTTAATGACACAATAGAAAACCATTATTCTACTAATAAAAATATACAAATCCATATGGTTCCACGTTTGTGTCCTACGTGTAGATTGTATTAATGTTTTGAAAATAAAATATGACGAAAGTTGTATTTCAAAAGCACAGCTAGCTTAGCTGTGTCAGTCAGCTGATTGTCCAAACAAGGACATTTACACGGGCGTCCGTTTACGTCATTGGTTTCCATCCACGGAATACTGATGTACAGGTAAAACTAGACTTCTACCATTATCTGTATTATTCTGAAACAAATGTATCACGATTGCAGTATGATTAGTGTCAATATTGTTGTTATTGGTTGCACTTAGTAAACTAGGCAGCGACCACTGCAATGTTAGCTACCATTGCTAACAATGCCAAATAGCTAGCTATCTAGCTAGTACAGCAGGGCTGCCTTCACTACGAAAAACCGTAACAGTTAGTGGAACGTTCAGTTAAACGGAAACGGTACTGTTATGAACAGCCAGGGGTGTATTCATTTGTCGGATTCCGTTGGAAAACGTTTGGTCTGTTGCAAAAGGTTTTCCAACATTGTTTACTCCAAACGGAAAACGTTTTGCAACGAAAACAATAGTTTCTATTGGACAAATGCAGGTAGGTCCCTCTCCGTTTCGTTCTGTTTGCTTCCATTTGGTTCATAGAGTAAACTGTAAATGGTTTCCGTTGCGAAACGTTTTGCAACGTAATCCGACCAATGAATACACCCCAGTTGAAAAACGGGGAGGGGTTGGGGAACGCTGTCAGCATGGCCACTTCCCTTTAAACATGTCACTCATTGCTTCAAGCCACACCTACCAAATGGAGCAAACCACAGGAGGTTGGTGGCACCTTAAATGGGGAGGACGGGCTCGTGGTAATGGCTGGGGTGGAATTAGTGGAATGGTATCAACCACATGGTTTCCATGTGTTTGATGCCATTCCATTCACTCCTTCCAGACATTATTATGAGCCGTCCTCCCCTCAGCAGCCTCCTGTGGAGCAAACGTACCTCAGTCTGTACAAGAACGTTGAAGAACATTTTGGGGAAACGTGTAGTTCAGTACAAACAGTTACGCAATGTAGCAAACGTTCAATATAACTGACGCACCCCAGCCCTCATTGAAGGGACCAATTAATGGTTTACATTAGAAAACACAGCCACAAAGTCAAAATTGGCTATATCGTAAAAATTCAACAATTTGCTTTTTGGTCTTAATTTAAGGTTATGGCTAGGCATTAGGGTTAGCAGTGTGGTTACGGTTAGCATTGGGTGTTAAATCAGATTTTTGGAAGAGAAATTGTAGAAATAGGCGGGTTTATTACTTTCTGGCTGTGATAACTAGTGATGACCCACATTTAATGCCTTGTTTTTACTAGGGCTGTGACGATACCAGTATCGCAATATGTTTTCCATGGCAAAAATGAAAACACGAAACAGACCTCACTCTTTGGTCCTTTAAAAACCTGCTGTTTGTAAAATATTGTGTGCTGTGGCTTGGAAAGTAAATAAATGTGACTCTGGATCACAACATAATAACATAATGATGTTTGTTTCCAACATTAGGGCTGTTTTCCTAAAGAAGTTAAATCCGCTTTGTGTTCTGTTTCCTTGCCATAATACTAACGAGTTTCGCGATACTGGTATTGTCCCGGCCCTAGTTTTTACTAGCTAGCTATCTGTTAGCAATAATCGTAACCTCGCAAGCCTGGTTGCTAGCTAAAGTAGTCTATTTCCCATTGAAGACTAGCTATGACTGTAATTTCTGTAGAAGCTCAGAATGATATGTATATCTGGTATACAGGACGCCCAAGAAATAGGATTTCAACACCCACCATCTGATTGTTCTGAAATCGTTTCTGTAGTTAGTAACAGACACGAGTAGCATTCCTGAAACATTATTTTGTTGAAATATAATTTGATATCTGAGAAATTAAGCTAACTGATTGCACCCAAATTGGCAATTTTAATGTATAGGATTCAGATTATATTCAATGAATATAGTACCCAACATCCGATTTGGACCAAACTTATTCCTAACAATGAGTAAGACATAATAAATCCCCCAGAATGTGTCAAAAGCCACCCACGGACCCCCCAGTATACAGTATCAGTTCTTTATGTTTGACAAGTAGTATGAAGCTGTGGCTTGGAGTATTGCTTCTCCATACTATGTAATATATTCCCTGTGAATCTGGTGATGTTTTTTTCCCTCTGTTCAGAGAAATGTGTAATTGAAGTCACTGTGCAATTGGGTCCTGGACTTCCTGACGGGCCGCCCCGGCTTGATTACCAACAATGATGAGACAGCCTACAGGGAGGAGGTGAGGGCTCTCAGAGTGTGGTCAGGAAAATAACCTCTCACTCAACGTCAACAAAACAAAAAATATGATTGTGGACTTCAGGAAACAGCAGAGGGAGTACCCCCCCATCCACATCGACGGGACAGCAGTTGAGAAGGTGGAAAGTTTTAAATTCCTCGGCATACATATCACTGACAAACTGAAATGGTCCACCCACACAGACAGTGTGGTGAAGAAGGCATAACAGCGTCTCTTCAAGAAATTTGGCCTGTCACCTAAAACCCTCACAAACCTTTACAGATGCACAATTGAGAGCATCCTGTCGGGCTGTATCACCGCCTGGTACGGCAACTGCACCGCCCACAACCGCAGGGCTCTCCAGAGGGTGGTGCGGTCTGCACAACGCATCACCGGGGGCAAAGTACCTGCTATCCAGGACACCTACAGCACCCGATGTCACAGGAAGGCCAAAAATATAATCAAGGACAACTACCACCCGAGCCACTGCCTGTTCACCCCGCTATCATCTAGAAGGCGAGGTCAGTACAGGTGCATCAAAGCTGGGACCGAGAGACTGAAAAACAGCTTCTATCTCAAGGCCATCAGACTGTTAAACAGCCATCACTAGCACAGAGAGGCTGCTGCCTACATACAGACTTGAAAATCACTGGCCACTTTAAATGGAACAGTAGTCACTTTCATAATGTTTACATATCTTGCATTACTCGTCTCATATGTATATACTGTATTCTATACTATCGTAATAATGTTTACATGTCTTGCATTACTTTATCTCATATGTATATATTGTATTCTATACTATCTGTTGCATCTTAGCCTATGCCGCTCTGACAATGACATTGCTCATCCATATATTTATATATTCTTATTCCATTCCTTTACTTAGATTTGTGTGTATTAGATATTTGTTGTGGAACTGTTAGATATTACATGCTAGATATTACTGCACTGTCGGAACTAGAAGCACAAGCATTTCGCTACACATGCAATAACTGTCTGCTAACCATGTGTATGTGACCAATACATTTGATTAGATTTTGAACTTCATACTACTTGTCAAACATAGAGAACTAATACTGTATACTGGTTGTTGGAGTGGGATTGGCATGGGGTGTGGGGGGTCCGTGGGTGGCTTTTGACCATTTTTGGAGATTCCTCGTGTCCTACTCATTGGTAGGAAAAGGTTTGGTCCAAATCGTATGTTGGGTACTATATTTATTGAATATTATCTGAATCCTATAAATTAAAATGGACAATTTGGGTGCAATCAATTAGCTTAATTTCTCAGAGATAAAATGTAATTAAACTACAGAAACAATTTCAGAACAATCTGAGATGGTAGGTGTCATGGCTTGCTGAAATGACATGGAACAACTCGATTGCATTATCATTACTGTACACGTAGTCAGTATTCTATCTGCTTTCAGCTGAGAAAATGAAGAAAAACAAGGGAAAGGTGAACACCACTGAGAAGGAGTTTGTGTTTGGGTTCAGGGCAGGGAGGAATGACTGTGTCCTCAAAGTACCTCTGCAATTCCCTGTCCAAGAAAATGTCAGTGACCTGCATGGACGACTTATGCTGCTGCACAAAATACCTTGCGTCGTTGAGAATGGTAATGATATTTCCATTCAACTAAATGCAATTAAATGCAAAACCAAGCACATTGATATATTCAACAACTTACGGTCTCTATTATTCATCCACACATGCCTTTTGGTACTAATACTTTGATGTATCTTGGTTTAGAACTGAAGAGCACACTGTCCATGTTTATTGAGGGCGAAACCATCCAGGACTATGACAGAGAAGCAGAGTTGGCCCTACAGAGACTGACAACAGGAGAGGTGGACATCAACCAGCTTACAAACACATGGGCCAAGGCCTACTCAGAGGTAAAATAATTACTCAAAACCAAATGTTTACAAGCATATTTTCGTATAAACTTCTTTGTCCCTAAAGCAGAATTTGGTACACCACCGCCACCAGCCTGTAACGTTGACACCAGGCATGATGGTCCATGAACCTATGCTGGTTACGCCAAATCCTGACTCTGCCATCAGCATGATGCAACAGGAACTGGGATTTGTCAGACCAGGCAATGTTTTTCTACTCCTCAATTGTCCAGTCTTGTTGATCGCACGCCCACTGGAGCCGCTTCTTCTCGTTTTTAGCTGATAGGAGTGGAACCCGGTTTGGTCGTCTGCTGCAATAGCCCATCCGTCGAGTTGTGTGTTCCGAGATGCCGTTCTGCACACCACTGATGTTCTGCACCGTTATTTGTCTGTTTGTGGCCTGTTTGTGGCCCGCCTGTTAGCTTGCACGATTCTTGCCATTCTCCTTCGACCTCTCTCATCAACAACCTGTTCGCCCGCAGGACTGCCACTGACTGGATATTTTTTGTTTGTAGCACCATTCTCGGTAAACCCTAGACTCTGTTGTGCGTGAAAAGCCCAGGAGTGCAGCTGTTTCTGAGATACTGGATCCGGCGCGCCTGGCACCAACGATCATACCACGCTCAAAGTTGCTTAAGTCACTAGCTTTGCCCATTCTAACGTTCAATCAAACAGTAACTGAATGTCTCGAGGCCTGTCTGCCTGTTTTATATAGCAAGCCACGGCCACGTGACTCACTGACTGTAGGAGCGATCCATTTTCGCGACCGGGGTGATGTACCTAATAAACTGGTGAGTGTATATGTGATCGTACACAAATGTAAGCAAGGTTTGAAATAATTATGTTTTAGTCAAATGTTATATCTGTTTTGGGCTTCTTGCTGTCAATTTGCAGTCTACAAATTATTTGCAATTAAGTTCCGGCCCCCTGACCATCCTCTCAAGAAAAAATCGGCCTGCGGCTGAATCTAGTTGATGATCCCTGTCCTAAAGCTTCTAGCCCCTCCCTTGTCCCTGCTTCTGTCTTTCCCTCTCTTCTTCTCCCACATCCCTCGCTTCTGTCTGGTAGTGTCCCACCCACTAATTTTCTCATGTCCTCATGTTGTCCACCTCAAATTACAGAAGTAGATGACACGGTTGTATATATGTATGTATGCATTTCACTACACCCGCAATAACATCTGCTAAATATGTGTATGCGACCAATAAAATGTGAGTTGTACAGTGCAACCTGTATTCCTATGCTATTTTTTGTGTTGAACAATCCAATTATCTCAAAGACGAGCTAGAGAAGTGTTAGCGTACTGTGCATCCTGATTATATTATCTTCAGTGTCTTAGCTGTTGTCATAGATCATTATATTGATACAGGATGTCAGTAAGTCACAGAGAGTTGACTGCTCCTTAAGTTTGGAACAATGTATCAAAGATTTGGCAAAAGTTGCCTGGAGTTGCCAAGTTGTAGTGTTTGACTTTGATAAGATGCACCTCATCGATTTGATACACTGCAGGGAATGTTGCAATTCTTTGCAAGACCTTCATCATCTGTCTGACAGTCTGAAGGGTATATTGTAAATCATTAAAACATCTGTGGTCTGATGAGAGATGTTAATAGACATGATGGTTTTCAATTGAAATGGATCAAAGAGCGGAGACTCCTCATGAAAAAATCCCTTTGAAACAGAATATCTTCCCTATTTTGGTCAACGAGATCATCTGCTTCATGCACTTCAAAGCTCTGGACTTTAGATTCTGCTGCCACTTGCTCAAGCACTTATAAAAAGAAAGAAGGCTGCCCCTCCTATAAAGCTCTGTTGGCTCACTGCTGTGGTGCATACGGGATTACCATGAACATTTTACTGCACTAGCACAGAAATACTCATGGATGCTGTCCAGTGTATTTTAAGGAACTCCAAAGGTATTTTAATGTCATGTTTGTTGCATAAAGATTCCTGGACATGTATTAATAGAGGAAGTTCACACTCTAAATACTATTCCATACATTCTAAATATGACATTAGTATGAGGTCGCTCTCTTAGCTTTGCCTCTATTGGGTTTGTTAAGGAGAACCACCTAATGCTTTTCAGACTGTCCAGTCACAATTGTTTTCTGGGTCTTCCATACCATACTGTGTCACTCACTTCTGCACTTCCTACAATTTCCTGTGATCTACTGAACAATGTTTTCCTGTGATTTTCCTTCGCTCTCAGAAGGTTACTCCCACACCTCAATGCCATCATTCTCTTTTGCTTGTTACTCTTTAGATCACGCTGAAATGTGGTCGTCCTGAGGAGCCCAGCTGGGATGAGGACTTTGCAGATGTTTACCATGAGCTCATCCACTCCCCGGCCTCTGACACCCTGCTCAACCTGGAACACAACTACTTTGTCAGTGTCTCAGAGCTCATCAGTGAGAGAGACATGGAGCTGAAGAAGTTACAAGAGAGGTTGGTATGACCATAGAGAAGAGTCCTCAAGTGCAAAGTAGCCAATTCAATCATCGTAATTGAAGTAAGTGTCATATAACAAATGCCTAAAGTGTTTTGCATTGTTCTGTTTTCAACTCCCAGACAGGCAACAGAGATGGACAAAGTCATGCAGGAACTGGGAAAGACCATGACTGACCAGGATGTAAATGCAGTTGCATCTCAACACTTCGATGCGCAGCAGGTAAGACACAGAGCCAATCTGGTTGGCCATTTGAGCTACAAGCATTGCAATGTTCTATGCACAAAGATACACAGTCATAGAGATGTACGATTGGTGATTCTTCTGTCTGGTCAGGTGCTGGAGAACAAGTGGGCCAATGAACTGAAACAGGTGACTCAAATCCAGAAGCAGGAGTATCAGGAGTGGGTGATCAAACTGCACCAGGACATGCAGAACCCCAATAACAGCACTATTAAGTAAGTGTGTGTGCTTGTGAATGCATGTGTGCAGAAATGTATTCTCAATTGTTTTTTAGGGGGATGTTCCTTGAAATCTCACTAACACCTTCATTTCTCACAGTGAAGCAAAATTGGTTAAATCAAGATAATGAATAGTCGAGTCATGTTCTTAAGTGCTTAGATGGGAAAGAAAGCCTGCAGACACAGTTGAATGAAATTTGCAAACACAGCAGCACTTTTAAATGCACACTCAAGAGGCATAGAAATAGCATCCTAGCTAAAATAAATGTGTTTTCCTTTGTTATATATGGTTTAATTCTTTTTTTATGTGCAGTGTAGTTTGTCAGTCCCAATGCACCTGATCTGGGGTTGGTTTGTAGCCCTGTGTCCATTCATTTTCCAGCCTGGTTCCAGATCTGTTTGTGTTGTCTTGCCAACTTCTATGCTCATTGGCGTGGGAAAGACAGCACAAACAGATCCGGGACAAGGCTAGTCATCTTGTGAACCGTATCCTTTACAGTGTGATGTTGTGTTTGTCAGTGAGGAGATCAAGGTGCAGCCCAGCCAGCTAACAGAGGAGGCTGAGCCTGGGGCCAGGCTGTACGAGGAGCAGCGACAGCTGGAGGAGAGCTTCACCATCCACTTAGGTACTATACTGTCTGTGTCTCCATGCAAACACTGCTGCCTGCTCCAACAAGCCCAGGATAAAAATAAACCCTGATGACAGCTAATGTATTTATACTGAACTTCCTGACATCGTAAAATGTAAAGACATCCTGTACATTATATATTTTTGTGTTTGTTTCCTTATGTATTTTGATGGTGTTGTTGCTGTGGTGTTGTCCAGGTGCACAGCTGAAGACAATGCACAACCTGCGACTGTTGCGGGCGGACGTACTGGACTTCTGTAAGCACCGTCGGCATGGCAGCAGAGGGACCAAGCTGCGGCGGCTGCAGACGGCTCTGTCGCTCTACTCCTCGGCCCTGTGTGGCCTGGTATTGCTGGTGGACAACAGGGTCAACTCCTACAGTGGCATCAAGAGAGGTGAGAGGTCAGGGGACAAAATAAAGCAAGGGGACCACCCTGTTAAGTGAGAGGATGAAACACATTTATCATCTGAATAAATTCAATCTTTCTTATTGCCATGACCGCATTTGAAGGTGTTTTGCTTTGGCTTGATGGCACCAGTGAGTTGGACGTTTTAGCATGATTTAGCATTTTCAAATTACGATAGCTCATAAAAGTTTTACTTTTACATTTAAGTCATTTAGCAGACGCTCTTATCCAGAGCGACTTACAGTTAGTGAGTGCATACATTCTTTTTTATACTGGCCCCCTGTGAGAATCGAACCCACAACCCTGGCGTTGCAAACGCCATGCTCTACTGAGCTTCATCCCTGCCGGCCATTCCCTCCCCTACCCTGGACGACACTGGGCCAATTGTGCGCCGCCCCATGGGTCTCCCGGTCGCGGCCGGTTTTGTCACAGTAAAAACACACGCCATTCCCTAAACCTCCATAACCATTGTGAGATTTTAATGAATCAACGTAATGAATCCACATCATCATGTGTTTATGTGTTTTCCCCAGACTTCGCCACAGTATCTAAAGAGTGTACAGACTTCCACTTCCCTCGGCTTGATGAGCAGCTGGAGGTCGTCCAGCAAGTGGTGCTTTATGCCCGGGCTCAGACCAGCAAGCACAAAGACCAGCCTGGTGAGTCAGTCACATACACCAGCAGCCCACCACTGTTGAACAGTCAATCACACTGCTGAGAGTGTTTTTTCATCATTATACTGTGTATACCCAATAGCTAAAAAAATTTTACCTGCAAAGAGAAATGGACAACTTTCCATCATTTACATTTACATTTACATCATTTAGCAGACGCTCTTATCCAGAGCGACTTACAGTTAGTGAATACATATATATATATATATATATTTTTTTTATACTGGCCCCCCGTGGGAATCAAACCCACAACCCTGGCGTTGCAAACGCCATGCTCTATCAACTGAGCTACATCCCTGCCGGCCATTCCCTCCCCTACCCTGGACGACGCTGGGCCAATTGTGCGCCGCCCATGAGTCTCCCGGTCGCGGCCGGCTGCGACAGAGCCTGGATTCGAACCAGGATCTCTAGTGGCACAGTTAGCACTGCAAAGCAGTGCCTTAGACCACTGCGCCACTCAGGAGGCTAAGCTAACATAACTTGCCAATATGGCCTTGTGGTATCACAGTGAAAAAGTCTGTACAAGGATGCGTTAATTCACTTGTATTTCTTCCCCAGAATTACATGATGATTGAGATGAGTGTTCTCTGTAAGAAGACTGGATAGAGAGTGATGATGTAACTATGGAATACAGGTAACTGCCAAAGTAAAGGAAACACCAAAAGTAGTATGGTGTTGGGCCACCACAAGCCACCAGAACAGCTTCAATGCGCCTTAGCATAGATTCTACAAGTGTCTGTAACTCTATTGGAGGGCTGCGACACCATTCTTCCACGAGAAATTCCATCATTTGGTGTTTTGTTGATTTACTCAAGTGTTTCCTTTATTTTGGCAGTTACCTGTATATAAGGTAGAGTTAGAACAATGTTAAAGATCCTGCTGGCCCAGTGAAGTAATGTTTGTTCAACATTCGAGCAAGGGCAAAGTCAATGGCATGTTGGCCATACATACTTGGGGATTATGTCAGGACAGAAGGGACAATACTTTTTTGACATCATAGCCAACGTGTGTTGTCGGAAACCTCTGTCAAGATCCTTATCACAATGAATCCACATTGAATGGCTGTTTAAGTGGAGAGATATCAGAAAGCTGAGTATAGAAACATTCCTCCTGGCTATCAGGCCTTATACGGATGGGCCTATGACCTCTGTTGTTGCTATTGTCATTTAGTTCCTGAAAGGTCATCTTTGCACTAGTTTTCCATACAGGAAATGCTAAACTCATCTCTTGTTTTCCCATTGACAGAGGTTCCTAGGAATGGAAGTAATAGTGAAGATAAGAACCAAAATGTGGAAAAGAATTATTCCAATATTTTACCAGGTAAAGTAAGACTGAATACGTGATTTTGTCTTAGCTTAAATCTTTAAGGGGCAAATCCTAACTTTGTGAATTGATGTCAATGGGAGACTAGGTGAACATTTGGCTTAAGTGGAAGAAAGGATTCGCCCCTAAATGGAACTGACCTTATTAGAAATAGGCTAAGTCATTACTAAACTTTATCTACTTCTGTCATCCTCTCCAGGTGAATTCTACATCTCCCGCCACTCCAACCTGTCTGAGGTCCACATAGTGTTCCACCTGTGTGTGGATGACAATGTGCGCTCAGGCAACATCACGGCCCGGGACCCTGCCATCATGGGCCTGCGCAACATCCTCAAGGTCTGCTGCACGCATGATGTCACCACCATCACCATCCCTCTGCTACTGGTCCATGACATGTCAGAGGTAAGAGAGAGCCTTATGTTATATGTGTAAAAGCAGAAGGTAATATATATAATTTACCTCCAGGTCCCAGAAGTCGATTCATAATGCATGTACAGCATAGTACATTAGGTACAGGTGAGAGATGACAGTTAGTTATACATATGCAATGCTGTATGTGTAATTGGTGCAGGGCTTGACATTAACGCTTCTCCGCTTGCCCGGGGAAAGTAAAACAAATTGTTGGACAAGCAGATTATAGATAGAAGTTGTCCGAAAGGACAAAAATCACAATATCATTCAATTAGGCTACTCCGATCAGAATTGGATCAAAGTGTCCTGCGATGTGTTGCGCACTCTCCTCCCAATCTCTGCAGATCGCATTGGAGTATAATTATTGTAGTATTGACAGGCATGAGCAGTCTTTCAATCATGCAGTCGCGAGATGCATTTTTGAGATAAGTGTGCACATTTGTTGATATTCATTGCTAGTTAGTGACTTATTTGCCCAGTTATAGCAAATTTTTGGTCAGCAATGAAAATCCTGGAAAAGTCATGGTGTGTGCATCACCTGCGTGTGTGCCAGTGCGAGTGGGCCATTGCCAGAGGAGAGAGAGAGAGCGAGACATTGCGCAGCAGGTAAAACTAGATAACCAGCCAAACTACACAATATGTTTTGAATTGCTAGTTAACTATTTAGCTATTAGCATGTATTAATGTCATTGTCATGTCCAATGTCCTAAAATAACTTTCCACCAGCACCGTGTATAACCGCCAATGGCTGACACGCAGCTGATACGGGTGCGCAAATGCTGCGTACTCCGGTTGTAAAACTGTCTCTCAAACGCTCAAAATTGGGTGTTGAGAAATAATTCTGACACCGTTGGAAAGCTAAGATTCTCCTCTACTCAATATTGGTCATGTAATTCTGACAAAGTAAAAACATATTCTTAGAATAGCCTAATTGTCAAGTAACTCCTATGCTTTCAAGATCTCCCCTGAACACTGAATATTTTAGCCTTTCATAAACATGTCTTAGTTAGCTACCTTGCCCACCTTAGCCATTTGATCACTGGTTCATTGAATGAGGTTATCATTTTATAAAGACATAAAAAGTATTTGGTTGTAATTGGAATGTTGCAGGGTGGCCAACCATCCTCCAGGAGAGTACAGGAGAGCTACTGGGGGTGCAGGCTTTTACTCCAGCCCTGCATGAACACACCACATTGTAAAAAATCAGCTGCTCAACAGGACTTTCATAAGCTAACTCTAGTGTGTTTGAGCAGGGTTGTATCAAAAGCCTGCACACCCAGTAGCTCTTCGGATGGAGGGTTGACGGACCACATGTGTTTTATACAGTAGCCTATCAATGCAGTATTCTACTTTGTGGGGGGTTAGGGTTTGTGCTTTGCTCAAGGCTGCAACGGCAGGAGATATAATACACAGGATCAGAGACCAGCAGCATTTCATTGTCAATACCAATTAATGTATTTTATGAAGTGGTTCCTTGCATCATACAACATCCTTTTCAGTCATGGTTTTGGCCCATGGTGTTAAAGACCATTTTTGGGGGGGACAAGTGACTTGAGCTTTCGGATAAGTAAAAAAATCTGTCCTACTTGTCCGAAGGACGTGGCTAAAAAAGTTAATGTCAAGCCCTGTGGTCCTGTGTGATTTATCGAAGTTAAGGTCACAGTTATCATTACGCTACAGTCTGCTTTGTTATGAACACCAATCAAAATAGTTTTTCTGTCCAGGATTTTGGCAATGGTGATGTTTTATAGAAGAAAATGGGTGTGTGAAGGGATTTGATAACTTATCTAGATGTGCAGTCAATGTTTTCACAAGCTCTAAAAAAAAAAGAATCAATGTAACCTGAATTACGAGAAATGGTTGAATCACCCAATTTTATATTTAACTTTATGGTGTATGATTCACAGTTGTTTTGTGAGTAAACCCAGTGAACTGACCACTCCTCATTCCATGGTTAGATGATTAGTGGGGGAAGGAGAAATGAATGAAAAATAGACTGACGAAGAAGGAGAGGAGGAGTAATGAATGTGTCCTATTTCCGGCCTTAGGAACTGATTTGTCTTTGAGTGCCGCCATGCCCCTCCTGCCCTTCAATTAAACAGGGGTGTGGGCATCAGTCTGTTGTCCGCATCCCCAGTGTCGTAGTGGCATGATACTATCTCCCTTTTCGACCTCCTCCTCACGTCTCTCTGCTTGTTTGTTCAGTACAACCTCAGCAGTGCTCTGGCCTGTTCATCTCTGGTTGTGAACTCTCCTTAGCATTTCCTCCATTCTGGAGTAGAGGAGGAGGGGAAAAGCGGGAGTCTTGAACTGTTGCGTTTACTCAAACTCTTGAGTATACAGCGCTCGGTACACACAGATCAGAGCGGGGGAACAGCGGTAGCATTGATAGACAGCAGCACTCCTGAGTCCACATGGAGGCACCCAGAACTGAAAAACAACCATTACTCAAGAAGCTGCTGCCTGATGTAGAATAGACGTCCTCACTGCGGTGCAGAGAGGGCCTTCTCCTTATCATGCCACAACATGCCTGATGTGGAGTAGACCTCCTCACTGCGGTGCAGAGAGGGCCTTCTCCTTATCATGCCACAACATGCCTGATGTGGAGTAGACCTCCTCACTGCGGTGCAGAGAGGGCCTTCTCCTTATCATGCCACAACATGCCTGATGTGGAGTAGACCTCCTCACTGCGGTGCAGAGAGGGCCTTCTCCTTATCATGCCACAACATGCCTGACGTGGAGTAGACCTCCTCACTGCGGTGCAGAGAGGGCCTTCTCCTTATCATGCCACAACATGCCTGACGTGGAGTAGACCTCCTCACTGCGGTGCAGAGAGGGCCTTCTCCTTATCATGCCACAACATGCCTGACGTGGAGTAGACCTCCTCACTGCGGTGCAGAGAGGGCCTTCTCCTTATCATGCCACAACATGCCTGACGTGGAGTAGACCTCCTCACTGCGGTGCAGAGAGGGCCTTCTCCTTATCATGCCACAACATGCCTGACGTGGAGTAGACCTCCTCACTGCGGTGCAGAGAGGGCCTTCTCCTTATCATGCCACAACATGCCTGATGAAACGTCTTCTCTCAAGTCAAAGCAAGAGCTTGCTCACAAATGTACTCTGTGTGGTATTCTCGCTTCCTAAGCTGCAGGAACCAAATAATCGTAATTATCCGTCTCCTTTTATAATCTTCTTTTCCAGTGCTTTTTCCAACTGACAAATTGTATTTTTGCCCAGCTCAGGCCTATATACAGTGGCATAATGACCAGCTAGTTGGTCAAAGGAACCATTGAAGGCAATGAGCTGTACACCCAGAGATGTCTTTCAAGGAACATTCCTTTTCTTCTTTATGAAAAGCTGTTGTTTGACAATGTCAGGCAGGCAGAAGAGAAGGGAACAGTGAGGGGATGACAGAGGATAGAAGGTTCATCATGTTCCACCATCCTGTGGCCTGACTGAGTCCTTTTATTCTCTCCCCTGCAGGAGATGACTATCCCATGGTGCCTGAGGCGGGCTGAGCTGGTCTTCAAATGTGTCAAAGGTTAGAGAGTAAGATGTACCAGGGACATTTTCCCCTCTTGTGTTACCTCTGAGACCTCTCAGTCCTAACTTAAGATGTTTCCCTCTGCAGGTTTCATGATGGAGATGGCATCGTGGGATGGAGGGATCTCACGGACAGTCCAGTTTCTAGTTCCACAGGTAAGAAAACAGGTTTGACTGGCTGCTGCTGATCTGGCCAGAACCTCACTGACTCAGACATAGCATGCATTATATTGCGGAATATATACTTTTAGCAACATTATTCAGGTTTATAACTGTATCATTACAGTTGAACGTACACACCCAGACAGGTTAGATGTCTCTGTCAGGTCTCAGAAAACAACATCAAAGCAACCAGTCAGTATTCATTATTCAGGGCTGATTAGTCTTTGGCACCACTCATATAACTATTATTATAGGTTGATAAATTGTTGCCTGCCAAATGTGATTTAGTGAAGCCCCAGGATGAACCCTATTTGAAGCGCAAACAAGTACTTGAGGAGAGGATTCTGATCATATCTTTCAGAACAGGAAGTTAAACACACATTGGAGTTGGAGCAATTGCTTGTCCCAGCCATTTAGCATCCAACAATAGTACCCCTGTACAGTATGTCTCACAAAGGCACAGCTGGTCTTGCATACTCTCCAAATACACTCTGTAGTGTACACAGTGTACCTACATTCAATTTACCATCACAAAAAAAGATTCCGGAAGCTCAACATAAGACATGTACCTTGGGCTCATTCTACAGTGTCACTATGTGATGAAAATGTTATGATGATGATGATTATTATTATTATTATTATTATTATTATTGAGTTGTTTAAGTCGAATAATAATATGCTGACTGCTCCTATATGTATTATTTTGTAAATGGATTCTGTTAATAGTTCAGTAAAGTTTAAAAGCAACGTACTGGCCGTCTACTCATCTACATCTCACCGAATAATAAGAGAGGAATTATATTCTGGAGCACTCTTATTTCTCAATAGAAGCATCCACCTTCATTAATGTGGCTCTGTTATGGGTTAGTTATATAATTATTTGGTTACAGGCATGGGTGAGGTTGTGTCCCTGTAGAGAGGGTCACCTATAGTAGGAGTACATGTTGACAGTCTTGGGATAAAACCAGCATCAAAGGCCCTAACAGCATTTACGGCTGCCAGCCTTACGCTCCGACACCATTCAAAATAGCACCTCTAAAACAGCTTTGTTTTGTACACCTCAACCGGACACGTAGATCTAAATATACGAGTAGTAGAAGAGTTGTGAGGGGAGACATTAATACTTAAAATGCTTATTTGAAGCCATGCTACCTATTGAAGCGACAGCTGTCAGAGAACACATAATTTGAGTATCTTGACTGGTTCCAAGGGAAATGGGACATCGAGCAAAAGGTGGCGTTGAGCTAAAGCAGGTTAGGTGGTCGTTAACACTTGCTGTTGTACACGTACAAGCAAAACAATGTATGTTGTGAATTTGAATGTTAAGATGTCTTGCATGTTAGTAGTTTGTATCTGTGTAGGCTACTCTATCTTGGAAAGCGGCCGTTCCATGTGTTCATCCATTCCAATGTACATTAAACATTGATGTCTACTTTGTCTGTGTTTTATTGACAGAGTATCTCTGAGGAGATGTTCTACCAGTTGAGCAACATGCTGCCTCAGATCTTCCGCGTCTCCTCCACCCTCACGCTCACCTCCAAGCGCTGACGGAGACACAGGGCCAATCACAGCGGCTTGGCAACTGTCAACACCATGCAGTTTTTAACAGACAGATTCTATGGCCTCTTCCGCATCATGCTATAGCAATTAGCATTTCAGTCTTGCAGTCTGTGGTTAAGTATTATTATAAGTCACAGTTGAATGAGTCTACCATCATGAAAATAAACTAACCAAAGGAATGACTCTACTCTCAGATTGTTAAAGCACTCCAGTCAAAAGTATGGGTTTCAGTGCTTTTGTATTGCAATTATTTTACAATATAGAGAGGGGCCTCAAGAGTTTTGATAATTGAGTTCCCTCTAACCTATTTAAATAGTTGCATTTCACAGAGGTTAGTGTGATGGATGACTGTCACTTGATTTAGTGATCCCTGTATAATTGGCATCATCTTGGGGCAAGGCGACATCATCTTGGCCCATCTTCCCAAAAAAGATGGATTGTGTTGTTGCCGAGACAAGCATTTTGCAGGTGTGTGTGTGTGTGTGTGTGTGTGTGTATACTGCATTGCAGTGAATTATAGTGAGGACTCTTTGTCATCAGCCAACTCCACCCCAGTAACAGCAGAGGGCACTGTTTACAGTTACAGTTTAGTCATTTAGCAGACGCTCTTATCCAGAGCGACTTCCAATTAGTGAGTGCATACATTTTTCATACTGGCCCCCGTGTTCTCAGAGATAAAGACCCCACACTGAAAGATGATGTTTAATCTACTGCGTGCCAAAACATTGACTTAAACATTTACTATGAGACACAGAAAGTTGGCTTCTTATGTTGTTGCAGCTTAAACTCTATAGATCATACCCCTGAATGTTTGCCAAACACATTTTCAGCACTTCAACTTATTTTTGATGTGCCATTCCAATTGACTGATCACGACGCACTGTACACTGATCATAATGTACTGTTTACACCCATATCTGTACTATATGTTTTTAGTAGAAATGTATGTAAAAAGTGTTTAAACTTTATATTACTGGTCAATGCGACTCTATCCTGAATCTCTGTGAAATAATGTTTCAGATTTTACATTCATTTGTTTTTTTACTGGGCCTGTAAACATTGGAGTATAGCCTACTGCATATTGCAGTTTGTGCACAATTTAATTAACTGTTTATGAGTAATCCACGATCGGCTAATATACCTGAAGCTAATATGACATAGTAATTACATTCCTCCATGTCTGTTTGAATTAAGTCATTTTAGTTGGATTAAATCATTTCTGCTTGTCAGAGGTTTGCCTGCCATGATGATCAGCGACAGTATTAAGATGATTAAACGGATCAAGTGCACCATCAAAAGTGTCTTCTTTCAAGTGAAAACAGATGGCTGTGGCTGTGGGCATTCTCCCCAGAGCGCCCCAGTCGGTGTCGTGTTAAAACCTGCTGCACTGTTAATACCGTACTGCACTGGTGAGAACCCGCAAAATGCTACGGAAATGTGTCACCGAATGCCTAGCATTCTTGGCATTGGTCTCGGTGGCCTTAAGTATTGGGTTCCCTGGGGCAGAGGGACAATGGTGCCGACTCAGCAGCATCATGCCCCGGCCGGACCCCGTGCCTGTCCCTCCTCCTTCCTGGTGTTGTGTGCAGCAAGGCAGCCTAGATGTCAGAGCAACACACACACACACAGGTTCTTTGACGAGGACAGCAAATCCCTGGAACAGCTGACCCCCTAGGGGGCTGATTGGCTGATCAGGTTCCTGGGTTTAGGTACACACCAACAGTGAAACCTACAGTACAGGGCCCTATTCAATCAAACCTACAAATAATTGTTTCCGAAGACATGATTCCTCTTGCACAGCAAGAAATGCATGAATTTTAGATTATTTAAGTTTCACACTGTTGACTGACGGGAAAGTGGGGCTTCTTCTCTACCAAGCAGCGTTCATATATAACCCTCTGAGTATGAACTTGTATCTTGGTCTTATATCATTTTAGTAACACAATTTAATAATTGCTTTGTTATTGTGTAGAAATTGAGTTTAGGGGTTATTGTTACTACAAGTTGAATAAGGACCATTCAACAATGTGTTAATACAATGTTATTCCTATTGAATTACTACACAGATATGAGCTACTCAGTGAAGTTGTACCCCTTCTGAATAGCACAATATATCCTGTCTGCAGAAGAGACTCCTCTATTGGCTCAGAGAAGCCAACAACAGTGTTTTGTGTTCTGTTACTGTGCCCATGTGGATGCTTGACACAAGCTTATGATGGTCATGCATATAAATGATAAGAAACTAGAACAATTATACAGTGAAGATTAATTTTAATGGAATGTTCCCAACCTCACCAGCTTGTAATTGAAGTCTAGGGAATGGCCTCCGGGGGGCTAGATGTGAATGCATTACACAAAGCATGGAGGTGACCACAACGCTATTCAACTCTGCCTACTTTGGCTTCATTAATGTTAAATAAAGACTATAGGCTAGTCTATTATTAATATTAGTAGTAGTGTTATTAGTTGCCCAACTCCTTAAACCTCTGGTCAGGCAACATGATGGTTCAGATGGCATTCAAATGTCTTCTGAACTTGTTTGACAATGAAGTAGAGGGAGTGTAATAGAAAATAGTTGTGAAATACAGTATATGTTCCCTCTCTTTGCGCTTGAGTCAGTATTTAGAAATAATGCAGAATGTGTCTGTTGAGTTCAACACACATTTCACCCTAAAGATAAAGTGATTCAACTGTCCCTGTTACATTGAGTCAGTATATGATACTACATTGTATAATTGATAGTTGATACATCGTGTCATCATGTTATTACAAGTGGACTGAAAAATAAACAGGAGGATACTTTGTAGAAAAGATATCAGCTCCATAGAAACCAGCATGAAGTCTAGCATACCACTGGGCGTCCCCGCATTCCTCAGGAAAACAGACGCCTCCATCCTCCCATAATCTCTCTACTCTGTTCCCCGCTCCATAGTATCCTTCAACGTCACAGCAGAGTCCCAAATTCCTACAAGTTGGGCAACGACTGAACATCAAGAAAAGTGGACAAGTTGCTGCATGGATTTACGGGAGTTTTGTAGAAAAGGTAGGCCTACAGTATTTCGCTATTCTATCTAAGAATTTGCCGTTCTTATATTTTTGGGGTGTGCAATATACTTTCTGCTTGTTTCCAGATGTAGCGCCGCATCTCGCTATAACTGAACTACTAAAATGTAAAACGTATTCATTGTGTCTTTATAACTTCCGCTTTATATAATGGAAATTTGGCGACTGCGTGGGTTTGCTTTTGAAAAACATAATGCTTTGAAGTCCTCTTGCGGTTATGGTCTGTCTATCGAACCTAAATCAATGTGATGATGATGTTCCACAGTCGAAATGATCACAACGTTGTGGCTTTTGACGTCCTGAAGTTTTATACAGTCTTAGTTGGCATATAGGCTACTTTGATTTATATTGATTGATATTGTGCCAAGTGCCATGGTGGCAACGATTGCGTACATTTAGTCTTCGATGTAAACATTTGGTGCTGTTGGCGAGAAACCTGCTGTTTTGACACATGAATGTGGTGGAGGACCCATTTGAAAATACACTATATATACAGAAGTATGTGAACACCCCTTAAAATTATCGGATTCGGCTATTTCAGCCACATCCGTTGCTGACAGGTGTATAAAATTGAGCACACAGCCATGCAATCTCCATAGACAAACATTGGCAGTAGGATGGCCTCAGTGAAGAGCTCAGTGACTTTCACCGTGGCACCGTCATAGGATGCCACCTTTCCAACAAGTCAGTTCATCAAATATCTGCCCTGCTAGAGCTGCCCCTGTCATCTGTAAGTGCTCTTATCTTGAAGTGGAAATGTCTAGGAGCAACAACGGGTCAGCTGCGAAGTGGTAGGCCACACAAGCTCACAGAAAGGGACCGCCGAGTGCTGAAGAGCATAGCACATAAAAATAATCTGTCCTTGGTTGCAACACTCACTACCGAGTTCCAAACTGCCTCTGGAAGCAACGTCAGCGTTGCAAAATACATTTACACATACATGTTATTCAATCATTGCATCCAAACTGCTCGCGTGTGTCAATGAGCGTCTGCGTAGCCAGGGACTAAAATAGAACTTGGTTCTATTTGTGACGCTTGACGTGCTGCAAGTCCCGCCTCTCCCATCTCCTCATTGGTTTTTAGTAGCATAAACCCACCTGGGTGATTGAAAGATGAACTGAGGTCCCTACTCCAGTCCAGTTGGTGGTGGAAATGCACCTTAAAGTTGGTTGCCAACCGCCATATAAAGTCAAAAGAAGAAGACTGACGGAGGAGAGATTACTAGAAACTAACTCGGTTTACCCTTTTATCTGTGGATTAATTGTCGGAGTAGAGGACCTTGTGCATTTCAGTTAAAATAACAAGCCAATGTTTATATCCCAGGACAAATTAGCTAGCAACAGCAATCTAGCTAGCTAAATTGCCATGAATGTTTAATGCATTTAGACCTGTCCCCAAATTAATATAGTTGGTTCAGAGTTCGTTTTGATATTTCAACCTGCGTGTCCTGGTCTTGTCTGGTGTGGATGGACAAAATCAACATGCCCGGGAAGGCGCACGTGGACGCCCGCACTCCTGGTCTAGTCAGCATGAGTGGTGCTCTGTCGCAAGGGGGAAAAAAACGCTCTGTGCTCACAGGAAAAAAAAACTCCCGCTCCAAATTTGCTCCATTCATTAAAATCACAATAACCAACACCTATCTATTTTTGTGACTACCTGGACCTACAATTGTTTTTTATGTTTAGAAACCAAACCATATGGATTTGAATTAAAAGTATTTGAATAAACATGAAAAGGTGAATGTAAGAAGCGAACATAATTTCAAATGTCATATTAAACAGCATATAAACACTACTAATAGGCCGGGGAGCCTAAGAAGGAATGAAAATGAATTATTTAGGCTATATTATTTCAATTATTTCAAGGCTATAGCCTGCAAAGAAATACATTGTCAAGCATTTGCAAGTGCGACACAATAGGCTGGTAGGGACATAATACGCTCAGCATTTAAACAACATTTCGTTGTATTAAATCATTATAGTCTATAAATTGTGCATATAGGCTGTGACTTACTTAGAATTAAATACAAATTAAATGAAAAATGACTTAGTGCCTTTGAATTAATTTTTTGAATACATTTTTTGAAACACGAGTTTGGCCAGTCTGTGGCTTCAGGCTCATGTGATGGTGCCTGGAGAGCCGGCCAGCAGCTGAGAATATCCTCTCCATACTTGCAGAGCCACTGGGGATGCTAAACATCCTTTTGGCCACTCTTGCCAGGCTGGGCAGAGATGCAAAGTTTTTTTTTTTTTTTCTATAGGTAGGCCTAAAGGTTATTAGGCAAAATAACCCAATCAAAATGGAAAGCTCCTTGAACGTGGGAATATGCCAGGCATATTGGGCCAAAATCAATTATGGCCTATTGTATAGATAATAGAACGAAAATTAACGAAACGTTTAAGAGATCTGATTTTTAGTTTATAAATACTTTACTACAATGACACCCACCTCGTTCCTTTCTTTTAGCATGTGCACATAGTAAGTATACCATGATTATTTAGTTGTGGACACTACATCACCACACTCCATCACTTGCTCTTGGTCCTCATCTTTGTAAGTCACCTTGATTTAGCACCTGTGTGTTTTATCAGTTTCTTTATGAAAATATTTTGCGAACTCCATGACAGTAGCTAAAGCAAGGGGCTATAGCAGCACACAAGTAGACTGCAAATGCTTGCTGGGGCGGGCATGCCCTGAGCTCGTGAAGTGATTGCTACTGGAGCGCTACTGGAGCGAAATTGGAGCGGGCGAGAAGGCAGACGCTCCAGCCTTTGGGAATCTCGCTCCACGCTCCAGTCAAATTGGGCACGCTCCGCTTCTCCCTCCGCTCCAGCTCCTCTCCGCTCACATACTCTGGCCCCAATGCATAGTGCCAACTGTAAAGTTTGGTGGAGGAGGAATAATGGTCTGGGGCTGTTTTTCATGGTTCGGGCTAGGCCCCTTAGTTCCAGTGAAGGGAAATCTTAACGCTACAGCATACAATGACATTCTAGACGATTCTGTGCTTCCAACTTTGTGGCAACAGTTTGGGGAAGGCCCTTTCCTGTTTCAGCATGACAATGCCCCCATGCACAAAGCGGGGTCCATACAGAAATGTTTTGTCGAGATCGGTGTGGAAGAACTTGACTGGCCTGCACAGAGCCCTGACTTTAACCCCATCAAACACCTTTGGGATGAATTTGAACGCTGACTGCGAGCCAGGCCTAATCGCCCAACATCAGTGCCCAACCTCACTAATGCTCTTGTGCCTGAATGGAAGCAAGTCCCCGCAGCAATATTCCAACATCTAGTGGAAAACCTTCCCAGAAGAGTGGAGGCAGTTATAGCAGCAAAGGGGGGACCAACTCCATATTAATGCCCATGATTTTGTAATGAGGTGTTCGACAAGTAGGTGTCCACATACTTTTGGTCATGTAGTGTATTTTGAGGTCATAGAGATATAACGTTTTTAAACGTCACTCATTGGCAAAGTGAAAAACTGTATTCTAACACAGTAGTAGACATATTATTTTACAATTACGAGGAATAGTTTTTAATACATTTCCATATAGGGGTAGGCTTAATACAATAACAAATCATTCACCAGGGAAAGTCAATTGGATACCAGTGCCACATGACACAAATGTCCAAAACAATTTCTACCCCATAAATCTGTAG